ACGTGAAGCTATTATGAGCACTAACAAAGCTAAAAACAGAGCCTATTTTCAACACTAACAACACTAACAATGTACCTTTAAACCCACTAGGAGGTACAGGAGGTGCAGTCTGACCGCTACATATGGAGGTGATAACAACTAATAACGGACATTTAATTGTTGATAACATCCAAAGTGGGTGGAGCGAAAAAGCGAGTAAAGATGATGGATAAATGGATCCAGTCTTTGTCTAAAATGTAAAAATATCAATAAATGTTAACAATCGTTGGATGTTTATAGTTTTATAATTTCACACCTACTGGCCTGAAAAGCCCCCTCTAAAACTTAAAGCGGCCCATGGGCCACCAGTTGATAATGACAATTGTAGCGAGTTTTGCGGCTCTGGACATGTTTAATGTAGAGAAAGAAGCAGAAATGGCTTTTTGATCCTAAAGGTTGCAGACCCCTGACCTAGAAAGTCCATTCAACTTTTAAACAATTCATAGGATTAATTTGTCACCAAATGATTCAGCTTTTTGATATCATGAAATCAGAGTTTATCCATCCATCCATTATCTTCTGCTTGTTCCGAATACGGGTCGCGGGGGCATCAGGGAGACACAGACATCAGTCACCAGCTCTTCTGGGAGGATTCCAAGGCATTCCCCAGTTGGACCTGAGGTCTTTCTGTGTGGAGTTTGCATGTTCTTCTCGTGCTTGCATGGGGTTTCTCCGGGTACTCCGGCTTCCTCCCACAGACCAAAAACATGTACAGTATGTTAGGCTGCCTTCAGGTCCAGGCCTCCCTTGCAAAAAAGATCTGTGATCTCAGTGGGATTTGCCTGGTTAAATAAAGGTTAATAAAATAAATAAATAAATAAGTGAGAGACATAGTCTCTCCAGGATGTCCTGGGTCTTCCCTGGGGTCTCCTCCCAGTTGTACATGTCTGAAGCACCTCCTTAAGGAGGTGCCCAGGGGGCATCCATACCAGATGCCCGAACCACCTCAACTGGTTCCTCTCAGTGTGGAGGAGCAACGGTTCTACTCCGAGGCTCTCCCAGGTAACTGGACTTCTCACACTATCTCAAAGGAAGAGTCCAGCTACCCTGCAGAGGAAACTCATTTCAACCACTTGTATCCACAGTCTCATTCTTTCAGTCACTACCCAGAGCTCGTGACCATAGGTGAGGGTAGGAACAAAGACTTACCGGTAAACAGAGAGCTTCGTCTTACAGCTCAGCTCCCTCTTCATCACAATGGACTGGCACAAAGTACGCAATACTGCAAATGCCACACCAATTCATCTGCCAATCTCAAGCTCAATTCTTCCCTCACTCGTGAACAAAACTCCAAGATACTTGAACTCCTCCACTTGAGGCAGAACCTTACCCTTCACCCGAAGAGAGATTTACAAACTTTTGTATATTTTGTAAGCTGTTTAAACAAGTTTTGACAGAATTCTTCACATCAATTAATTCATTAATAGATTTTTTTTTTTAAAGATAAGATATACGGAGGGATTTCCAACACAGCTGCTTGCAGTAATGAATGTTCATCCAAGAAGTGCGACTTGAAGGAGCAGGGAGGCTCTAGACTGGTTTGTCTCCTTTTTGATCAAGAGGCACCTGATAATTTGATATTAGGCAGCAGCAGATGACCCACAGCTGATTGAACCTCCTGATTGACTGGTACATCTTCACCCTTCACATGACCCTCTCTACTAAACTCCTCAGACGAGCCTGGGTCTTCTGGGTGTCCTCCTTGCTGAGTTGCTGCTGCTGAGAAAGATGGGCACAGAAGAAAGTAAAAAGAGAAATTGTTAATCATCAGAACATGGAAATGGTTTGACATATAGTTTTTAATTCAATATTTAAAATGCTATTCTAAACAACAGTGTTGGAAGATGTCAGAGATTTTACATTAATAGATAAAGTAAACATTTTAATGTTACAGCACTGACAGGCAGCAGCAGTGTAGAGTTTAGCTACCTGTTAGCTGCTAGCTAGCTTACTTTACAATCGGAGGCTGTTTCCTTACACAGTTACAGAATGGTAAATTGATAATGATGGATAACATTACTGCAGCTAACTAACACAGAAATACTGCTTTTATTAACCTTACTTTGCACTATATCTTGTAATTTAACCTCTATAAATAAAGGTTGAATGAATGAAATTTTGTGAATTTTCCAGACTGGTCTCCCGAGGGAGAATAGACCCGGAAGTATAGATCCACTGTGCCCAGTCAGAACGGACTTTGTCTGACGTCATGTGAAAAGGGTCTATTGTTTTTAAAATCTTAAAAATAGGTCCAGTCACTCATCGAGTTAGTTATTGCAAATAGCGGATCTTGTTGTTGTGAAAGTTTCTCAAAGAACCAGTGGCCGACAGTGTTCTGAGTCTGATGTCAAGTTTTAGTACTAGTTCGGCACGCTTGGAACCGCAGAGAAAAAGAGTCTGAAGACAGGGACCGGTTCCACGAACCATTACTAGTGGAAAAGGCTTGGAACCGAGTCGAGTCGAACCGTGCTGTACTAATGGAAAAGAGTCATAAGAAGGCCAGATACTCCAAAACTGCCATTTGGTGCCTAGACACAAACAATGGTCAGAGTTCATTCCCCCCATCTGAAGGTGCAGGAAAGCTACCCTCTCATCTACCGGGGATGTACATGAGATGACGTGCTGCTGTAGTTTTGCCGCATTGTTTTTGCACATTAGTGCTTAGTGTGTTCTTAGTTTTGTGTATTCTTAATTTAGTGAATGTAGTATATTCTTAGTTCATGTCTCAGCTCTTACTAATGTTTTTCTTTACAATTTGTATTTTTGTTGGATGTAACTGGGACCCTATGTACAACATAGTTTTGTTCCACCTCATGCACCACATGTGATGTGAATGACAATAAAAATCCTTGAATCTTGAAAACTCCCATCACGCAGGCACCAAGTCGAGGGGCTAAAAGTAGGCTCACACCAGCTGGTCACCTCTCACCATGGGCAACGCCAGAGTGGAACAGGGTCCAGCCCGTCTCAAGGTGACTAGTTCCAGAGCCCATGCTGTGCGTCGAGGTGAGCCCTTCCTGCTATTTGCTAATATTTCCCCACTTCTGGATCTTGGGTAGCAATTTTGGTTTTGCTTTTGACTAGCTTTTTTTCTGCTTGTGCCTTTATTCACACTTCTAGCTTCTTTTTTTTTTTTTTTTTTTTTAATACAATTATGGCTTTTTTGCACATTTTATCTTTTTAAACCTAATTTCAACATTTTTCTGTTTTTTTAGGGGTTTTTTTGTGCTTCTTGCAGCTTTATCTTTCAATTTTTTAACTATTGATTAATTTCAAGTAAACTAGCTTTTTAAGCATCTTTCAGCAAAATCATTCAGTGATCAACATTCACACTGCATTTTCACAGGAAATGCAATTTCCGTAGTTCATGTTGTCAAGATCCATTTTCCTTCCGTATGTTTTTTGGCATATTTGTTCCGTAATTTTTGTGCTATTTCAACAACTGAAATATCAAAAAATTCAGCTCCTTTAGAAAATTCCTGCTCTGACTTTTGGTATTTGTGAAATTTTAACTTTTTTAAATATTCAGCCATGTTTTTCTCATAAAAAAATAATGGAGCTCTCTTCACATTCTTTAAACTCTTTGCTGTTTACAACCTTTTACTGCTCAATGCTGTTGGGATCCTGCCCTGCACTCCTCTCTCTCCTCAAGCTCCCTAATTACCAGCAGCTGCAGCTGATCAGCACCACACCTGAGG